GACTTGACTAAACCAGACTCAAATAAGACTTGATTAAATACTTTTTATCTGAAGATGCCTGACATCCAGAAAAAAAAAAGAACAAATTGAAGACAGGGCAGAGATGGATGTGATTATGAGGAAGGGAACTCAAACAACAATAAGGTACTCCAACATACCAGGTCAAGATGGATGAGGATTTGAGATCATCTGTCATTCTCACTTCTCACAGATGAGCCACAAATGTACGTCTAGAGGGAAAATGAGTCTTTCAACACTGAGGATGACAAATGAGTTTCAAAAGAACTTCCACAACTTTTCTGAACAAGTTCACGCAAGCCTTTTTCTGGTTTCCTGCAATCAGAAACATTACAGAAAAGTTAATCCTGCCATAGCGGAATAATGTTAGGGAGGAGGAGGAGGAGGAGAAGGAACAAGAAGAAAGAAGAAGGAGAAGGAGGAAGATGAAAAGGAGGAGAAGGAAGAGAAGGAGAAGAAGAAGAACAGGAGGAGGAGGAAACAGAAGGAAGAAGAAGGAAGAAGGAAGAAAAGGAGGCGGAGGAAGAAGAGGAGGAGGAGGAGAAGATGGAGAAGGAGAAGAAGAAAGGTGCACAATGAAGTTACCACAGCTGAACTTTGAGGCAGATGTTTTGGGTTCTGCTACCAAATGAAGCAGAGTTGGATTCCTATATGAAGAAATAAGAGATGTGTGGTCTTCTAAAGAGTCCCCATCCCAGATCCAAGATCGAGTGATCAAATCCCACTGCGACCAGAAGTGTGGGATGGAGGGAAATAAGAGATGACAGATACTACTTTTGGGTCATCCAACCACAACACAGATCTTCCAATATTGTTTGTTCATTGTGTAATAACACATTTTGGAAATACACACATACTCAAACCAATCAATAGTAAAGGATCCATCAGTCAAAAACCACACTGCAGGTTAGCATTTTTTAATGCAAGTTGAATATTCCGGGAATGTTACTTAACTGCTGTGCTACATCTATACCAGTGAAGTTCAGAATGGTTCAGGCAACGTTTTTTTTTCCTGTTAGATTGTATGGATGTGAAAGCTGCACTTTGAAGAAATGAGGTAGAATGAGCAATTGAACTTTGGTGCTAGATAGAATGAGCAATTGAACTTTGGTCACAGAAGAAATCTTCTGTAATTCTCACAGGAAACGCTAATGATCAAGGCAATATAATATTTTTGATGTATTATGCGGAGATACAGTTTCCAGTTAATCATTGTTGGAAAAGTCAATGGAAAAAGAGGAAGAGACAAAAAGAAGCAAAGAGATCATCATTAGCAGATCTAAAAGGTTACATTGAAGACAGATCATTCTGGAGAAATATTTGGAGAACGATCACCAACACTAACACAATCAATGCATCAATAGAAGCCAACAAAGACAGTCAATTAATGTCTTCCGGAAGTGATCAAGGCTGAGCCCTTCTATAGAATCACAGCCCAGTTACAACAATTGTAATATCTGGAGTCTACACTATTCTAACACACCCTCCTTTTTTTATACCTTATGCATCATTTCACAACTCTACATGTTGTGGGATCTGTTGAAAGATTCATGATTCCAACAAAGCTTTATTAAGACGTGGGAATGAAATAGATCACCGAGGGAGAGATATTAGAAGGATGTTCCTCTTTTTTTTTAAGGAAACGGAAGATGACTTTTGCACAGAAGTAGTATGTAAAAAGGAAATGCTGATTAGTTACTCATACCTAAAGAAAGCTGACATCCATTTCACTTTCAGTCCCATTCAGCCCAGGCCAAAACCATCCATTTCCAAAGGCATTTGACGTCAATTTACTGTTTCTATTCCAAGTTTGTCCGGATTGAAATAAACAGCGATGAAGTCTCCAGCCCAGGCCAAATATTTATCAAGGGCTACCTGTTCAAGCGATGATATAACTGAAGCACAAAAGGGGGAGGGTGGAAATGATGCACTAGGATGACAAAATGTGCAATAAGGCTTGTTGGTTTGTCACTGAAGTGGATGGATGGCTTGGACAATGAGAGTCATTTGCAAGTTGAAGATAACGTATTGATCCTCCTGCAGAGATGGATGGATGGAGAAGGTATAAAAGGAGATCCCTTCTGCTCCCGAGTCTGATGACTGATCCAAGCTGCAGAGGCATCAGAAAGGAACAGAGATGCATCCCCAGATATTGTATATCCTGTTTATGCTTTCAGCAGGCTGCTGTATGAATGCTTACCCAGTTTATCCAGATATTGATGGCATTCAAGGTAAGGGCCTTTGCTTATCATGAATCCGAATGTCGTATTAGCTTTCAAGTGCAGAAGCTGTAACAAGAACCTGCGGGAGCAAGGTCTTCTCCCATTGGCTGCCTTCCATCTGGGAACTAAGGGGTTTGTTCTTCCAAGATATCTGGAGGATGATCGGTAGAGGAAAATGGGTCTTGGGCACTCTCTGGTTTGCTAAAGCGGCCATGAATTTGGGGAGTCTATAAGTTAGGTCAAAGGTCTTCAAACTTGACAGCTTTAAGACTTGTGGACTTCAACTCCCATCATTCCTCCTCCAGTCTTGTTAGCTCAGCAATTCTGGGAGTTGAAGTCCACAAGCCTTAAACTTGCCAAGTTTGAAGACCCCTGAGTTAGATTATACATTCAACAATGTTATTGCATCCAAGCAATTGGCTTCGGTATTATACAACCAAGTCCCACGTAGGAGAAATTAAGCCAGCCTCCAGGCTTTGTCTACTTCAGCTATAAAATTATCTAATGCAAAGATATATTATTAAAATATATGGATGAATTTATGGAAAAATACTTCTGGGTGTCTACCTACAGAAGGAGATGACCTAGGAAGACTGGTGGGTTTTATTGTGGTTCTGGACCCAGTGTGAATTTTTTCTTTGAAGAAAATGAAGAAAATTGGCTTAAATTTATCCCAGTCTTTGGTCCTCCATGGAGTTCATCTCTGACTTGGGCTGATATTATTACCAAGACATTATTTCCTGATAATACCATAAGATCAAAGTAGAGTCCTTCAGCTTCTGTTTTCAGTATTGTCCATTTGTGTACTGGTCTGTCTACTTCTTCTTAAGATGTTTGTAGAGTTGGAAACCATCCCACCCCATCACTTCTGCTCAGATTTTGTGCCTACAGATTTTAACTTGGTAGACAATACAATGAGCTTCGTACCTGATGATGTACCTTCTATTGGGCTTCGTCAACCTCGGAACATGAATTCAGCTCACTCTGTTCTGGAAGAAGAAACTAATCAGATCCAGAAAGATAGATGGTGGAATGGTTAGTGAAGATGAAAGGTTTACCATCTTCTCCTTCCCCTTCCTCCTCCCCTTTCCTCGTGACAATGCACGCAATGTGTTGAACAAGATTGCATCTTAATCTCAGTCCTCATTGCATTTCCATCTTCAGTATCTAGTTTAGAATGGGGTTTTTTTCTGAATTAACTAAGGGACATCCTTACTGCATAATTCATTTTCTCTTTACTGAAGGAAAACCAGGAATGATTTCCATACTAGTGTGAGAATCAAGGATGTAACTTATTGATCTATTAGATTCAATAAATCCTATGGGTGATAGCAGGCCCCAGAAGAAAGAGATACGAACCAAAGTTTTCAGCTAGGATGGTTTTAAAATATACCAGAACTATTTGTAATCCTGAACTATTTGTAATCCTGCTGAGCTGTTGCTAACTGTGAAAACATATTTTTGCAAAGTATGCACTTGGATGGATAAGTTTAAAACAGAAAGAATGAAACTGTAGGAAATGAGGAACTGAAAGTAATGTACACAGGTGGTTACAGAAAGTGACAGGTAGTGAAGTATAAAGGATAGAGTTGAAGATCAGCTCAGGGCCCTTTGATTCATGGCAGTCCTTGCAGGACCTGTTATATGTTATTGGACCCCATTGCAATGGCTTATTAATGTATGTGTATTATTCCCATTACATCTTTTATATCTATTCATTTCTTATGTTCCAAATTATTAGAAACAAACTCTGATCTTAAAGTAAGAATTTTTGTTTCTGTTGCTGTCTGTTTCCTATTGGTATTTTTTATGACACTAGATACAATTAGCTATTTATTTGTCCATGTCCTTCTGCGGCATAAAAACCACTTACTAAGTACTTTTGTTTCCGCTCTTAAGTTTTTCATGTTCTTACAGTTACTCTTACAACTAAAAAAATGAATCGACATTTGAAAGGAATGGTGTTTGATTTAATTTATCCAGGGAGATCTGAATTGATACCTGATATCGTTTTCTCTTCCTTTCCTTCTTTCCCTTTCTTCCCACTTTTCAAAGTCAATTATAAATATGATAATATCCATTCCCTCAATTTATTCTGCTACATTCTTACATACAATGTTGATCTTAGACACAATAATTGCATGATTATTAACAAGGAACTCTATTCAGAAAGTTTGTGTTAATAGTAGTCAGTTCACCCATTTCAAATATATATCTTCAGTTGTCTGTCTATCTTAATTTTCCAAGACTTTATTTACTAATAAGAACATAATTTTATGAAACCTTCTTAACAAATGTTACTTATTCAAATATAAGCATAATCAAGATGAACAGATCCATAGATTTCTTGAAATTTGCATTAGCATAACAGTGGTGGGCCAACTCAAATGTCATCCAATTGTACCTATTTCCAGGAGCTCTTCAACACTGTATGGAACAATTTCAAAAAATCAGATGCAATCAAAAAATGTTTGGGAAAAAAAAAACCCAGATGCAATCAGCAATCCAGAGGTTTAATGTAGAAAGAGGAAGGAGCTAGCAAGGCATTCCTATTCAAATCTATTTGGTGATTTGATGGAGTCAAGTGACAGATGCATAGATCATAAAACGTTCCACTAATATCGCCCACCTTGTCTTCGCTCTCCTTTGTTCTTGCAAAATGACCATGCAACATTTCAATGGTGTACATTTTCATTTTCTCTCTTTCTTCTTCACTGTTTTGGGGGATAACTATTTCTGGATCTCTTTGTCTCTTTGTAGGAGGAAAGGAACCAAGCCAGGACGATTCCCCTTCAAATCTGGTGAGTGTTCTAGGCAGTCTGTCCAATTTGTTGTGTGTGAACAGGACTAATTTACACAGTGCACCCATCTGCTGTATGTATGCACAGACCAAGTTATTGCCCGAAGCTACCGAAAATGGCTGAACTTGTCAAATTTATTTTGCTTCATTTGCTCATTCTTCCCAATCATAAGTTCCTTTCGTCTGGTCTTGTTTGGATTTGAGGGGTATTTTTTAAATTGAAAAATGCATATGTGTAGAATTCTGTGGATATTTCTCCAAGCTGGTGTTCCCTCACTTGCAAGATTAGCCAGCGTTCATGAGTTTTACAGATAATTCCACCCACCTACCTCTCGTGTCTGGAACACATATTTTCACCAAAGATGCACCTTCTGTTGATAGAACACATTGCAAAATCCACTGTAGTGCAAATTCTGTTTCTCCCTTATCAAAGAGGTTTAGTAGGGTCATGTTCCCCCAATAGAATTTTTTATTGGCCAAGTGTGATTGGACACACAAGGAATTTGTCTTGGTGCAAATGCTCTCAGTGTACATAAAAGAAAAGATACATTTGTCAAGAATCATAAAGTACAACACTTCATGATAATCATAGGGTACAATAAGCAATCAGATCATACTAGGAAACAGTCAATATAAATCGTAAGGATACAAGTGACAAAGTTACAGTCATACAGTCACCAGAGGGAGGGGATGGGTTATAAGGAGTGATGAGAAGATTAATAGTAATAGTAGTGCAGACTTTGTAAATAGTTGAACAGTGTTGAGGGAATTATTTGTTTAGCAGAGTGATGGTGTTCGGGGAAAAACTGTCCTTATGTCTGGTTGTTCTGGTGTGCAGTGCTCTATAGCATTGTTTTGAGGGAAGAAGTTGAAACAGTTTATGTCCAGGAAGTGAGGGGTCTGTAGATATGTTCACAGCTCTCTTTTTGACTCATGTGGTATACAGGTCCTCGATTGAAGGCAGGTTGGTAACAATTGTTTTTTCTGCAGTCCTAATTATCCTCTAAAGTCTATGTCTATATTGTTGGGTTGCAGAGCGAAACCAGACAGTTATAGAGGTGCAGATGACAGACTCAATAATTCCTCTGTAGAACTGGATCAGCAGCTCCTTGGGCAGTTTGAGCTTACAAAGCCGTTGGTCATCGTAACAATATTATTATTATTTTTAGATTGAAGATGTCAAGACAATACTATGGAAACTGGAAGCTGCAGATAAGCTCCGGACCCAAGCTTTTGTCAAAGCAGATCAGTCTCCTCAGAAACCAAACAAGAGAGGTGAGCTATCTTTGGGCCTCAATCACCTTCTCCAACGGAGTTGAGTTCAGTCACTGGAGACGTCATAGACAACTCCCTGAGCTGGTTTGTCATTGCTTTCTTGCAGGATGTTTCCCACCCCCCAGCTCTCCAAGTTAGTCTTCTGTCAACTACAAAATACTTCTTTGGTCTTTTTAGTTGGCAACAGAAAGAGAGTGGGGAAAGTAGTGCATTCCTTAAATGCTTCAGATAATTACTAGGCAGCCGAAGCTGTTGGTGCACAAGATTGTTACTGGAGAGCATGATTGATGACTCCTGGCTATGGATATGTCCCATTGGAGAATATACATCCAGGGGGTGGGGGGAAGACCAGGGTCAAGGGTAAAATGAATGATGTGTCTTAGAATTGGCTGCACCCAGGTAAAGCCGACATGTCACTCCTAATAAATCTTTTTTTTTTTTTTTACTCTGAGAGATGTGGCTAGAGACTTATGATTTGAATGAGGGTATATTGTTGAAGCCTTGACATCTTCAGCTCTTGGACTTCCTGCTGGTCTCTCACCTACACTAAACAAATCCTGATCTTGCTTAATTTTTTTTGAGATCAGTTAAAATTAGCTTAGTTCTTATCCCAGTTGAAGAACTCTTTGGCCCATATAGAATAAGGATGGGCAATCCATAGCTATGGACACTCAGGTCACCCCACCTCTCCAAAGCTTATTTGCAGACTCCAAAGAATTTTGATATTGTAGCATAAACAAAACATTTGCATTGGGAAGATTTTTTTAAAAAAAAGTAAAAATTCAATTCTTAAAAATATGAGGGGAAAGGATATTCTACATCCCTCAATTGAAACCATGCACGTTTCCCTTTCAAAAAAATATGCCCCAAACAAACACATAGAGCTGCCAATTATTTATTACTCTTGTGGTAGAACCTATACATGGTTGCTAGAGGGACATAGGATGATATGTATATCATGCCTGCATCATGTAATTGATGGGACTGACGTATTGGATCAAATGTCATGATTGCATTACGTTAATTGCGCCATCTGTTCAATGAGATTGTGACTCATGTATTGTTAGAGTTAGAATTCTTTATTGGCCAAGTGTGATTGGACACACAAGGAATTTGTCTTGGTGCAAATGCTCTCAGTATACATAAAAGAAAAGATACATTCATCAAGAGTCAAGAATCATAAGGTACAACACTGAATGATAGTCATAGGGTTCAATAAGCCATCCAATCATACTAGGAGACAGTCAATATAAATCGTAAGGATACAAGCGACAAAGTTACAGTCATACAGTCACCAGTGGGAGGGGATGGGTGATAAGGAGTGATGAGAAGATTAATAGTAATAGTAGTGCAGACTTTGTAAATAGTTGGACAGCGTTGAGGGAATCATTTGTTTCGCAGAGTTATGGCATTTGTCATCCTGATGTCACTGTAGGTTGACATGAACACTGCTGATTGAGTCACCTTTTGCCCAAATTAACAATTTTGGTGCTGGGGTGGGGAGGTGACTCCATGGGTGGAAATATATCTGACCCATGAATGAGGATAAGATTGGGGGAGAATTCAGGGGGATTGATGGCTTTGATTTATATCTCCCCATAGGAGAGCTTCCTCTATCATAATACCCTTCCAATGTACGGACTCCAATCCCTTAATCCTCAGCCAACCAGAAGGTAGTTAGAGGACAAAGAGAATTCATAATACTGCAACTGTAACAGCAGAAGCCTTCTAAAGGGAGAGAACACAGACCTTGCTGTTAATAAATTTCATCTATTTCTTTTTTCAGCCTGTTTCTGGAAGTACTGTGTCACCAACTGAACTTGGGAAATAGCTGTGCCTTGTCTGCTCAAACTGCAATTTCCAGCCCTCCCCCCAAAGAGAACATCTTCAGATCAAGCGTTCCAGAAAGTGGGTTTTCACTTTTGCAGCCACTCATCACTTCCCCATCTAATCTAGATGAGCAATGTCATGTGGGTCAAGATTAAATATTTTGCATTGCACTATAAATAAAACACTTCTGATCTCTGTGAGTTTCAGTTTGCTTCCTGTTTCTCCAGCAATGTTTTAGTTTTACCAGGTTGCTATCCCTATGCCCAGCCCCCTCCCCGCAAATAATTTATCCAGACTTGGGACCGGCTGGGTTATCTCAAAACAGAGTTGGCCCAGGTGAAGCTATTACGTTAATGAAGTTTAAATTAAGTTATAGAATAGAATAGAATTCTTTATTGGCCAAGTGTGATTGGACACACAAGGAGTTTGTCTTGGTGGAAATGCTCCCAGTGTACATAAAATAAAAGATACATTCATCAAGAGTCAAGAATCATAAGGTACAACACTTAATGATAGACATAAGGTACAATAAGCAATCCAATCATACTAGGAAACAGTCAACATAAATCGTTAGGATACAAGCGACAAAGTTACAGTAATACAGTCACAAGTGGGAGGGGGTGGGTGATAAGGAATGATGAGAAGATTAATAGTAATAGTAGTGCAGACTTTGTAAATAGTTGGATAGTGTTGAGGGAATTATTTGTTTAGCAGAGTGATGGCATTCAGGAAAAAAAAACCTGTCCTATGTCTAGTTGTTCTGGTGTGTAGTGCTCTATAGTGTCGTTTTGAGGGTAGGAGTTGAAACAGTTTATGTCTGGGATGTGAGGGGTCTGTAGATATTTTCACAGCCCTCTTTTTGACCTGCAGTATACAGGTCCTCAATTGAAGGCAGGTTGGTAGTAATTGTTTTTTCTACAGTCCAAATTAGCCTCTGAAGTCTCTGTCTGCCCTGTTGGGTTGCAGAACCAAACCAGACAGATATAGAGGCCCAGATGACAGACTCAATAATTCCTCTGTAGAACTGGATCAGCAGCTCCTTGGGCAGTTTGAGCTTTCTGAGTTGACGCAGAAAGAACATTCTTCGTTGTGCTTTTCTGATGACGTTCTTGATGTTAGGTGTCCATTTTAGGTTTCATTTTATTTCATTAAGTGAAGTTTAAGATTGGGACAATGCTGAAGATGCTGCGAATGATCAAAACCACTGGAAAACATTGGCTGTCACATGTGCTCCACACGGGGCATGATGATGATGATGATGATGATGATGATGATGATGATCTGTGTGAAGGCCTTCTGATGGTGAGCAGTTTGTAAAGAAGGTGCTGCCATAGTCCATCGTGTAAAAGAGAGATGGCGGGTATCTCAAGCATTTTCCCACTGGAAGGGGAAAGGGGAGAACACAGTCAATGATGTCGCACATGTGCGATAAGGACTGACTGGGCAGGGAGGGGAGGGGTGGGCAGATAGAGGCGGGGTCAGCCAGGGTCACGATTTGCTGGTTCTCCGAACTGCACAGAATCATAACAACCGGTTCTATAGAACCGGTCCGAACCGGTAGAATCCCACCCTTGCTTTGCAGGCACCAACTTCCAGAGCATGATCTTTAGCTCATCTTCTTCGCCACGCTGGCGTAAGTGCGTTTGATCTCCTCATCGGCTGGACAAGTGTGGCTGAACTCATTCCGGGCATAAGCATGATGGAGATAGCGCCAAACTGCAGTCATCTCCGAAGGGATCTCAAAGTTGCGATACTTCTTGGCGGCAATCTAGAAAAATGGGAGAGAACCAACAAAGGGGGG